ATTAGGTCTATCATATATCGGTTGAAATACAGAAGAGAATGGACTTTTGAAAGATATTGAAATTTTCCGTGTTTTCTCTGTATCTCCTTGCCTCTGTGTGACACCTTTTAGATCAGCGACCAATCAGAAAGGTGAAAAAGAGAGGCCCACCCTGACCCTCACTACTCAGCCAATCAGAGCTCAGTGACTCACAGCGATCTTTATTGTTTTCTAATAAGATTGAGCTGGAATGCTGTAGTCTTATTTTTCACAACATTTTAGTTTGACAAGACTCCTTCTGTCAGGACGTTCAAAATGAAACCGTAAAAATCCACATTCATGACAGATAAAGGTCAATGCTCATACTATTTCTCGCCAGCTATAGACACAAACTCTCGCAAACTCTGCAAATCAAATGTGTTTTAGTCCATTTCTGCCTCAAACTCTCGGTTCAAGTCCTTGTCTGAGCAGCACCGTAGTGTTGTCGAGTTACTGTAAGATTTCTTTTCCAATAGAGTTGTGAAGCACTCGCAAACACTCTCTCTCGCTCTCTTCAGATGACTCAGAGTGCCATGGCAAATTGGATTTACCACGCAATGCTCTCATTATTGTTACCAGGGAAACCAAGAACCCCTCCAAAGTCATCCCGTTTGTCATCGCTCTGATCCCGAGAGAAAGGTCTTTTTTGGAGGGAACACAGCTTTTTGGGCTAATCTTGAAGGATGTGGGAGAGATTTTATTTTTTTCAAACGTTTTCTGAAGTTCCCAGAGAACTTGTAAAATGTATCAGTGTGTTGCATCCTGCTACGATTGCTTAAGTTTCTACAAAAGGGGAAAGATTTTTGTTGTTGGTTGTGTTAAGCAATCGTGTCCTGTGGTGTGATGAATTGCAGGTTTTTACAAATGGTACAGATGGCACTTTTTGTGGGTCACAGTAATGTATTTTATCTTTGCAACAAACCAGATGAAATCCTGGGATGAAAAGTATTGCCTAGAGTCAGGAAATATGAATGAATTTGATTTCACCAATATATTTATGCTCCATTTTTAAATTCTCTTTCGATTTTTGTTATCTAAAAGTTTCTTTCCAATTATTTGAGCGAGTGACAGAGGACGCCTGAAGACCTTGAGTTAATAATTCCACCGCTTATTGATGATTGGAAATGATTTTGGGTTCAATTCCACAGCCCAACTAAGCAGCATGTAAATACGACAGGTGACCTCAGAATCTATAATGTATTATTATGATACTATGATATGAAGTTATGTATATTTGAAATAGTCCTTTCCCTTAGTATAAGCACATCTAAGATTTACTGGATAAGAATAGTTAAACCAACTTTTTATGCTGATATTTGTGAATATTTGACCCAGATATGTATGAGACATATCTGGGAAATGAGACTATGAGAGGTCAGAAAGGCGTCTTTACTTTCCATCACTGTGCTCTCTAGGATGCTTTAGGATTGATCCTGGAGCACTGAAGACATAAAGTTAAGGTTCCATTTTGACCAAAATATAAACTTTTTTTTCCACATAAAAAGATTCATAAATGATTGATACCCTTTATTAGTCCCTTTTAAGAAGAAGGCTGTGAGCATGGGTGGGTCTAACTGCTTCTTGCATTGAAAAAAGAGCTCTCCACTGCTCTCCAGTAACGGGCAATCACTTGAATTAAGATGCATACAGATCGATATAGAAGTGTTCCAGTGCCCACTCGCATCGCTGCAGGAGCCCATATGCAAATCAGATGTTTCCTGCCATAGTAGGCTGTGCACATTCAGGGTGCTGGGGCCGGAGGACGACTGTGTAGGAGGGAAAGCCGCCAGAATGCTCCTGGCGTACTCATCATCTGGCAGAAGCCTGAGAGCCACATTGTTTGGCCCCATTCAAACGGCTCCATTGTACCCAACTGCACCACCATTGTGCCTTGTGCCGGCAGTTTATGGGGACTTGTGTTGGCCTGTGTCGTTGTCGTATTGTCTAAGTGTTGCATATTATTACACTTCACAGTTTGGGTGCGCTCGGAGCCCGGTGGTGTTTGTCTTTCCCAGAATAAGGGGGTGTGTGAGTTGGTTCAAAAGTTGTTCCAATTCACCAACCCAGGTTTTGTCATTTCTGCTGCTAGCTGTACTTTCTTTCAATTCTCAAATCTGGATCACATTGTGAAAGGTTTCTATGATCCAGTTTTTCTAATCCAGGCGTCTCCAACTTTTTTCACCCAGAGAGCTACTTTCCCAAGACGAAAAAGACAGAGAGCTACTCCTTTAAGCAGTCCATGAGAACAATTCGGTGATATATTGGTGACATCGGGCCTGGGGATTAATTATCATCACATATTCTTTACCTGTGAGTATGATAAATAATAAAAATGCATAATACATTCTGCAATATTTAGTGTATCTATTTCATTTGTTCATTTCTAAAACCTTTGGCGAGCTACCTAGAACGGGGTTTGCGAGCTACTGGTGACTCCCGGACTACAGGTTGGAGACCCCTGATCTAGCCTGTTTTCTGGGTATACCGATATATTTTTAGTTCCTATGAATATGAAAGTCTGTTTATGAGTCATTGAAAACTTTTGTGCATACATTAAACTATAATAATTTCAAATCATTGTTAGATCTCTTGCCATTTTACGTCTTAAACCAATTACCTCTGATATTGATCAGTTATTGGAGCGGTTCACTGCCATAATGGATGCCTGTGTTCTTGCTGGCTCTTGTGAGTGTTTATTAATGGTCTGTATTTAGAGTTCAATGTAAGTTCATATTTGCAGGCTGTTGGGTCATGTAGCATCGAGGCTAACGCTTGTCTATTGCAGCTCCGTACAGTCATCGGTGCATGTTGTGATTTCAGCTCAGAGCAGAAGGGAGTGGGAAGAAGTGTGGCTCAGCTTTAAATGTCATCTTATTGCCTTTACAAAAGCGACGCTATAAACAAAACCCATTGTGGACCACTGAAGTTAAGAATCATGTAAATACAGAATGATTAACTGACTCTACAGAAAACTAAAGTATGTGGGACAGAATTGTATTTATCTTGTTGTCACATAAATAATATACTTTCTTTACCTCGGCAAAAGACACATACCCCATCGTTCCCATGATTCATCCTGACAGTATAATTGCCCCACATCCCATATACACACACAGAACATTTAAGCTTTTTGCACAATCCTGCCTACAAATATACATTTTATCAAGCACAAATATTTTTTTTTTAGTAAACACACAATTTTCCATTAAAAAACCAAAAACAATTTCTTTGTTTGTGGGTTGGATTTTGTTTTTAACTTCTATTCTAGTACTCTCTTACTCCATTGGATTAAGATTTTTGATTAAATTGTTGTGCTACAATAAATTAAAATATATTTATGTAAAGTACAGTTGTTCTTGCTGCGTTGTTTGATCACATTTCTAAGGATCCTTTTAAATTCCTAATGTTGCACGGGTCAAATGTTTATTCTTTCTCTTAACACTGGATCAGTTTGGACGAGCCCGAGTGAAAATGAGTTGGTCTCGGGTCTGATCCCTGGAGCTTCAGCCTTAAAAGCAGCGAGTGTCAGGGGACAGGAAGCAGCGGAGGTAAGTGATAATGAACCGACTTTCTATTCTGGTGATGATCTAAAGTGGGACTGAGTGAGATAAGAGCGAAAGACACTCAGCAGAGAATGACGAGTGAAACTGACCCGACCAGAGGGTCAAGATAACTGCAGGTAACCTTTTCTCCCCAAGTGGTTTGAGGGGAAAAACCTGCTCTTCAAGTTATGTTTGGTCACATTCAGTTGGTGATGTTGGTGTTGAGCGTCAGGAAACATTAAACTAGTGCTGAGTTATTGGTTTTTGGGTCAAATTGGACTTTGTGAACATTTCCTATAGTATGAGAAAATGCATGCTACAGTATATCATTGCTTTGAAATCTCTACAGCTATGTTTACACACTGTAGCCCTGTGTTTTTTTTAACCAGTTTTGAAATGCTGTGATGACCCGGGACCACAGTGAAAAAGATTGGCTTGTTGTTTGGACCTGTTTTTTCGTTTCACCATAGAGAAGATGGGGACATAACTAAATTAAAGAAAAAAAAACTTGGACTGTCCCTTGTGTGACTCATCAGACTAACAGACTATAAAAAAGTTTAAGGATTTTGTCCCATTTTAGGAAAGAATGATTGACAATTGGGGGAACCAATAGTCTTGATGATCCACCCGGATGTAGAAAATCCTCCCATATACCTTGAAGATAAGATAAGAGATCCTTTATTCATCCTGCAGTGGGGAAATTTCAGTGAAAAATTAAGAGTTTGGTTTTATTGTTGTCCAAATAACAGCTATATTTGCAAAAAGACTACTTTGTGTGAGGCGGATGAAATGGCAACCCAAGTTTTTGCTCCGTTTGAATGACCCTGAAGTTAAGGCACTTTAAATTAACCACATACAGTACCAATGTAAGATTATTGACCATTCCCTTACCATATGAACACTTAAATTCTGAAGCAGATTTTGTAAACACCCCTTGTCGTGGTTACTATTTTTATTACACGCAGCGCTGTTGAAAACCGTTGACACCTTTTGGAGTGGCCCTTTGCAAAAATAGAGAGAGCAATCAGAGTGCTGCATGATCTCCACTGTGCTGTAATGGAATGACAAGTAGAGCGCGTCTCTCTCCTCTCCCTTTTCACACCAGTTTTTCACGTCCTCAACGGCTTGAAATAAAGAAGCTAATTATTCCTGTTAATCACAAAGCAGTCGAGCTGAATCACTGGACTCCCTGCTGTTGGACATGGACACAAAAAGCCTCGGCCAAGACCCTCCCTTTACTGTATTCTTCCTCGCTCTTAAAACACAAAACTACACAATTTCACTTCGGCTTTTGCACAGGATGTTATGAAACCAGCTCGGATTCTTGCAGAGGACGTTCTTTTTAATTTCTCACGCTCTCTCTCCACTTGTGGCAAGATCCGCGGGAGGCAGGCCCCAGAACGGACTGGAGTCTCTGGTCACATCTGATCTAGACTCTGATTAATGCACAGAAGGAGGGAAGAGGATCCAGAGAGAGAGATGGCCGCTGTGGACTTTGTCGTTGAGGATGACTCTGACGACACGATGCGAGAAGAAGCTGAGGATGTGTTCTTGGAGGATGGTGAGGTTAAAAGCGGGGCAGAGTGGGAGGTTGTGAACTTTTGCCTTCTGGGTTGAATGTGGAGGAATGCATGCTTCAGTCGCAGGTGTAGGATTTGTTGTGTCTTATAAAAGTCAATTATGTCAAGAATGTGGGAAAAGGGATGTGTTTGCATGCAGAGAGAGGTTATGAAGTATTTTGTTTGCTCCATACTGTGAGATTTATCAACTTCTCACCCGTTTTAGAGCCAGTAGAGCCGTGCCCGGTGCAGTGCAGTCCGTGTGGGCGGTCTTATGTAACATGCTGCTGGTTTAAGCTGTTATTATTATGCATTTGAATAACATTACTTCTGACTTTTTTATTGACTTGTTGAAAGACCAAGGACAATAGCAATTTAGACTCTACAGGTAAAGCAATCATAGCTCATGTAATGAAGTGTTGGAAAAGGGGGTTTCTATGTGTTTTGTGTACAGAATTTGACATGTGTTGGTGAGATAAGATGACAACCCCATGTGAGCCTGGAGCTGCACTTCCAGTTCATATGTGGAGATCAAGAGGCTCTTTAGTGTTTTGAAGGGAAAAGGAATAATTGTTGAAAGATCGTTGTACATTACATTTGCAAAAATAAAAACATCAAGCAATATTTTCATTATGATACATATATTATTTTTGTACTTTTTTTGCCTTTTGTTATATCCACTTCAGTGTATTTTAATCAGTTAAATGTCACTATTTTCAGACTCACTCATCACCACATTTTAAAACCGGTCTTACAAAAACATCTCCACTTATTCCATCTTCCGCACAAGCCTCGGTGCTCTGCTTCATGAAGATGGCACATGAGCCGTGAGGATATTCCACGTATTGCATCACTGTGTGTGTGTAATGTATGTTAATGCCCGCGTTGACCCACTTCTCACTGAGCAGCAAATGTGACGTTGTCTTTGAACAACACTGAGCCGGGAGGAACGTGAGGCAGCTGACTGAGCGAGCAGCCAATCAGAGAGCAGCGTGAGGATGCTGAGGGTTAACAGTTTTATTGCAGTCCCACACTATGGGTCTCGTGCATTTGCTCTAATTATTATCAAGCGGGGGTGCTATGCCATGTGCCATGTTAGTGCATATATTCATGTTCCAAATGCCGACAACCTAATTTATTCATTTCTCTCTTCCTTCTCCCTTTGTTTTTCTTTCTGGTGAGCATGTCTTATCTTATATAGTTACATTTAGCTCAGGCTCAGATTGGAAGCTGCTGTAACGGCCGGACCATAAGCCGCTACTTTTGCAATTCATTTGAACCCTGCGGCCTAAATAGCGAGCGGCCAATTTGTTTATCTTTATTGTTGTAGAGTTGGACTATTGTCAGAGCAGAGTTTATGTCCTTACAGTATCAATTTGGTATCAGAAAGTTTTAGAAGCTGCAGGACACACGTTTATTGTTAAAAAATTAAGGCCTCCTCAGAGTTTCTTGTATTTTTATTTGATTTAGTGTAGAGTAATTGTTCATTTGTCTTGTGTGCTACTCATTCCTACTGTTCTGCAACACTGACATTTCCCCACTGCGGGACGAACAAAAGCATCTCTTCATCTTAATCGTATTATTTACCATGCTTTGTCCATAACGATTGATCACTGCGTTAAAACTCTTCATCATTTAGCACTGTTTTTCCCTATTAGCAGCCAGCAGTGTTGCAATACTTTCTTTTCAAATTACGCTGGGTTTTGTATGCAGGCGTGCTTTAAAGTCCAGCAAGTACTGTGCTCCTGATGCAAAACTATAGTCACAGATTATTAATTATGAGTCTGGGTCCTGAACGACGAGTCCTGTGTCTCGAATCCCATCAGTCTGTTCATGAAAAAGACACAGGGACAACTGATGAATAGCAATGCACAGACAATGAGTAATAATCTGACAGTGAATAAAAGCTCTATTCATCCAGCATCCCAGAACAGGTATTAGACTAAGACTAAGATTAAGAAATACTTTATTCGACCCACAGTGGGGAAATTTCAATGTTTGATCAGTAGAAATGAGGAGCGCAAGTGAATATTAAGATTTTAGGTATATCACTATGGCATAAACCAACGCAAATAGTGGCATTTTGAGTCAATCGGGCAGTAATGTGTCAGGACCAAAGTATGGTTTTGGATTCGTCCATATTAGTGCTACAGTTTACAATGCATCTCACACTATTTAACATGCAGCTTTATGCTCTGTATTTACCCTGGAATGTCAGTCTTTACCTCTTTCATGCAAACTAACGCCGAGTCTAAGCTATTACAGACCCCCATGATCAGTATCTATGAACCTCAGTAAGTCCGCTTTGCACGAACCCCCTCATATGACTTGAAAGACCCTATTCACCGCTCTCTCAGATTAAACTGCATTACACACCAACACAGAATGGCTTTCTTATCACCGATACAGGCACGCTTTCCCACTCCCCAAACCCCGAGATAAATGTTTGCCTCAAATGGGAACCAGTGGTATCTTTGGGACCAAAACACACACAATGAATCTTATCATAATTCAAAGAGCTAGTGTGTCTTTGAGGATGTGGTTAACGGCGAGTGAAGACGTATAGTAGGGCTCTAATGACAGTAAAAATAAAGCAAAGTGTGAGATTATTGAAGGTGTTTGGTGTCTAAATAAACCAGTGTTTGGCTAACTGGGTCAGGGCAGGAAGCATGAAGAGTAGCCCTCTTAAGTCACAATTGTCCAGTGGAGATCAGAAGGGCTCTTAAACGCAGAGTTATAGCCCAGGCTTGTCCCTTCGGAGCGTCTGTCTCGCACAAGTTGCATTCACTATTCAAATTTATGGAAGTAATAAGAGCGTATTGGTCCCTTTAGCAGCACTTGGATTTTACTGGCAACAGGTGTGACGTTTCTGCTGGGAATGTGGTCATAAATTAGAGACAAAATGCGTTCTAATTCCCCAGGCATAAACTAATTTTATTTTCACACAAATTCAAATCCTCATTGTCAGCAGGCCGTTTGTTAAATACATGTGTCTCAGCTGAACACATAGCTTCCAGTATTCAATTTTGTTTGTGGATAACTGCAGCCGAGTCTTCCCATATTGATATTGAGTTTGTCTAAATGAAATGTGGTGGAGGCAACAAAACAATGAAAATATGGGTGAATTAAAAAATCTACACATTAAATGTCTAATCTAAAGTATTTAAGTAGCAATGTGTTAGATTTTCATGTCAAGTCATCATTAAATGGGCCAAATCTGTCAAAAGGCATTAATAAACTATGCTCTTCTCGTTTTACAGCCCCTATATCTTGTTATTGTTTTCATTTCGATGTCCCGCCCTCCACCATTTAATCTATCAGAAAGTCCGTGTCGAGCTAATCTCACTGGTAAAGTAGAACTAAAAAAGTCTTGTTGTGATTCTCAAATAATTCATGACAAAACAAGGAATAAAATGAGGATTTCTATCAGAGCCTTTGTGAAAAAGGTGTTGGTTATAGATTTGTTGTTGACAAAACTCTTGTCTACTCAGATATTATGGTCCCAGCTGAATTCATCTGCATATCTGGCAACCTGACTCAGGGAAAGTGGGAGAGGCTGCAGTACCACTTTTGGCCAGATTTGTACACACTGCTCCTTAAAATCCAACAATAAACATCATCATCCAGATTCAGATTCAGATTCATTTATTTGCCATTTGCAGTAAAACCACATTGGAATACATCCGCAAAGGTCCCCCGTGTTTATAAGATAAGTACATAAATGAAACAAGGTTGAAAGTACAGAAATAAAACACACTAAACAGGAAACAATAGACACTGTGAAATCGATCGACTAAACAAGTTTCAATACAAAAGCAAGAGCCCCTTGTTTAGAGTTCTCCTTTCTTTGGCTGGGATGTAAATTCTCTACGTTTTTTCAGAAAGTAGAGACGCTGACGAGTCGATTAACAACCCGATTAGTAAAAGTCGTAGTTAATGGACTCTATTGCATCTAGGTATAAAGTTAAAGCTGGGGTATCAAACTTGCAACTACAACAAATAGAACAAGGGTTAGGGTTAGGGGTAGGAAATAGTTCAATTAATTGTTTTCACATGTGTTTTGGCCTCTCACTCACTTTAGATCATCTTTTTCAGAGAGAAAGCTTTAAAAAGAGAGGACCACCCTCACACAACCAATCGGCTCTCAATCAGGGCTCTTCTCCTTCTCTTCTTCGTCCATCCATCCATCCATTTTCTTCCCCTTAATCCATTTCTGGGTCGGGGGGGTGGCGGTCAAAGCTGCACCCAGTCACAGAGCACCAGCCCCTCACTGATCCTCCTGCAGGTGGTGAGTCCACAGGAGCTGAGATCTTTCTCTTCTTCGTACAAGTATTTAAAAGAAGATTTTTGCTAATTAAGATGGCATAATGTGGTCTGATTGGTCACATAACTTATAAAAGACTGAAACAGGTACCCTAGCTTTAATGCACCTTGCACAGTAGTCTGCGCATTGCTCTGGCGTTGATGTTGTTTACAATTACATAACAGATACTAAAATTGCGAGTTTCAACCGCTTTTGTGCTGCTTGTTTACAGACACAAAGACCTGACAATCGTTCTGTTGCTGTTAGAAGTGCAACAATAATCGCTGCGCACTTTTGTGAAAGCTTTTGAACTTTGGAGAACGTAAACACTTAAAGGACGTCTGAGTGCGGCACTTTAGGACATTGTTAGGTTTTCTTCTTTTCTTCTTTTCAATTGTCAAAACAACAATAATTACTTTGAACATGTACTGGCTTGTGAGCTTATTTAAATGGATTCCAAACAATTCCATCATAACTAGCTTTCGCATATGATGTAATCAAGTCACCACCGTTTATACAATTAAATGAGATATTTCTATGTGTGTTCCCGGCGTTTGTTTGATTAAGCTTTCAGGGTATCTTTACGCAAGGATAACCGAAAGACCGCAGCTTCTGTCTGATAAACAGGGCTCAACCAGGACGAGCGCTGCACGAGTCGGGATCAGGTTTCACAAATCCAGTCCTCCTCTAGTGTCTGTGTCTGTACACGTCCACTTCAGCATGCCCCAGGAAACTGTATCTGCTTCAGAGCCAACATGGAGTCCAGCTAAGCACTAGATCATAGGAAACACTACACTGATGCTGGCTGTAAAGGGGAGGCTGATTTATATAAAGTACAGCTTTGAACTGACATATATGCATTTGCCAAAGGGAGTGTGATGGTTTAGTACAGAACAGAAACATACTATTACATACTGTGTATCCCAAACGTAAAACCTTTTGACAAGTGAATCCTTTTATATCCATAGTATCTCTCCACA